TCATATCAGACTGCAGTCTCGCTGCCCTATCATGAGCCTCGGATTGTGCCGATTCTTGTCCTCACCTCCTTTCTCCTATTGCTCAATGTCATCAACTCTGCCCTTGACCGTGTCCTGTACTGTGGTCTGTTGGGCCAGGTCCTGATTGGCATTGCCTGGGGATCCCCTGGCGCCAAATGGCTCTCTGCAAGCCTCGAAGAGACCATGGTTCAATTCGGTTATCTCGGCCTGCTTGTATTGGTCTATCAAGGTTCGCTCACACTCGGAACAAACAGTGACGTCATTGTCATGGCTGCTTGCTGCTTGCTGCTTGCTTCAGCCCAATGCATCGTGACAAGAGTAACATGAATCAGGTGGGCTACATACCTCGTTCCAATCCCTCAAAGCCAACCTACTCCTATCTTCTGCTGTCGCTCTTACTGGCATCGCCGTCCCCATTGGCCTGTCCTACACCCTGCAGGAGCTCCTGGACGCGACCCCTCTGCAAGCATTCGCTGCAGGTGCTGCACTATGCTCGACCAGTCTTGGCACCACTTTCACCGTCCTGGGCTCTAGTGGACTCTCCACTTCTCGGCTCGGTGTGGTCCTCGCCAGCGCTGCCATGATGGACGATGTCGTCGGATTGGTCATGGTCCAAGTCATCTCCAATCTGGGGGGCGACGACTTCAGCTGGGTCACTGCCGTCCGCCCAGTGCTTGTCTCAGTTGCTTTCGCCACGGCCGTGCCTCTCGTGTGCCTATGCATCGCCAGACCCATCACATTCTGGCTAAACAAGTACCGCGAAGAGCATCCATCCACGACACTCAGCCTTCTCCTGCTGAAGCCACAGACTGTCTTCTTCCATCACACTCTCTTATTGATTGGACTTGTCACGGCTGCAACATATGCTGGTACCTCTGGTCTTTTCGCCGCCTATCTTGCCGGAGCCAGCATCAGCTGGTGGGACTCGGAGTTGCCCCATCCACCTTCTCCTGTTCGAAAGCTTTCGCCCACCGCAGCCGATGTGAAGAAGACAGGGCCTGGTGCTGAAGCTATCCGCGAGCCGACAGGTTCACAATCCAAGACCGATGTACCTATGGAGAGCGCTGTCACGGCTGCTGCGAGCGAGGCCAATCACAACAGCAGTCACACTACGGAGACAGCCCAACATGATCATGTGCCCAACGCTCAGCTCCATGAGCAGGACACGACTGGCTCGGCCATTTATCAGCGTTATTACCACCCGTCAGTATCCAAGATCCTACAGCCACTGTTCTTCGCCTCCATTGGCTTCTCTATACCCATCACCCGCATGTTCAACGGGCCTATTGTGTGGAGAGGTATTGTCTACGCCGTCCTGATGGCATTTGCAAAGTTGGCATGCGGTCTGTGGCTTGTTAGATTTTCAGTCATGCCAGGCAAGGGGACCCTGAGCCGATCACTCGCAAAAGTAAAGTTCCCATCGATCCCGCACTTGTGGGGGAGAAGCGCACGGGGAGCTCCATCGAATCCACAAAGTGCAACGAATCCTACTTTGACGAGTGGAGCCAGCCTGGAAGCTCGTAGCTCACCGAGCCCACCCAAGCCCGTCTCACTCCATCCACCGCTTATACTAGCACTCGCAATGTGTGCCCGGGGTGAAATAGGCTTCCTGATATCTGGCGTCGCTGAGTCGAATGGCATCTTCTCGGCCTCAGGGGTTGCGTCAGCAGATGAACCATCGGACATTTTCCTTGTCGTGACCTGGTCTATTGTGCTGTGCACAATCTTGGGGCCCCTGGGTGTTGGCATGTCGGTGCGGAGAGTGAAGAAGCTTCAGGAGCGCAAGAATAGGCAGCAAGAAGGTAGTGGGCGAGATGTGCTAGGTGTCTGGGGTGTTGATTGATGAAAGAGGGAGGTTAGTATTCCACGAGGACTGGCATTGTTGTCTGCACACGGACGATAGCATCTGGCAACGGTTTACGGATTTTTTTTTTCTTTGACGGAAAAGGGGGACCATATAGTAACCAGATAGGTAGGTAGTTTGTGTAGACTCTCGAATCACGGGCTTAGCGCGCGAAATGGAACTCGGTCCAGGGATGTGTGTTGTATTCGTCAGTGAAGAGGATGCCCAAACAGAGTTGAAACCCCCATGAATACGGTGTCCCTAGCACGGTGAGAAGGAGCCGAGGGGGGCGTGAAACAGAACGCGAGCCTATTTTTTTCCTTTTTGCGATTCTTTGCAGTGGTGTCTGGTCAGGGTTGTTCGCACGTGTCGAGATGGTAGAGGGTATACGAGGTCGAGAAACTGTGCCTGCTCTGTGCACGATGATGAAGAATCGAAGCCAATCTATAATGTGTGGCGCATACTGGCACAACAAAACCAAAAAGAATTGCGCGCCACAAGAAGCCGACCGAGAGTGGGGAAGGGTTTGCAGGTACTGTAGGATGGGGCTGTTGTTGGATGTCTACCTATCTGCAACCAAAACGTGCAGCCCTGGATTCGAAAGTTACCCATAGCGATACCTACCGATCCCGATCC